AAGTGCCATCAGAATTTAGGGGTTTTTAATTGCTAGGAATGTTCAGGAACACAGTTTTAATTCTTATCTGAATGTCAAGCCTTTCAGCTATTTAAACTTCTAACAAGATCATATCAGACTATCAGATTTTTTGGTGATAAAGGAAGACAATTTGTTGCCATTAGAGGAGGTGTAAAAACAGTGTTGGCTGGGAGAATGTGATTTTTAATTTTTTTTTTTTTTGTCCATCCATTTGTCCTATCCCATATCTAATACGAACAGGTGAAAATGCTTGTGCGATTACTAATGCTCTCCCAACGTGGGATCATTTGGGTGCTGAGCGGGACTTGAGAAACACCCACGTTTGTGGGACCAGCTCTGTTCTGAGCTGCCTTCCTACCAAGTTGCCAGTGTTACTTTTTGCAGTACCTGTGGGCTCTTTGGATGTTTCTGATCGACAGAAGAAAAAGTCAGGAATGGTTAGGGCAGTCTTTGTCCATGAGATCGTTCCAGATGCATCTGAGGCTGTGCTTCAAAGCTAATAACTCAGTGCAAATTTTCGTATGTATCCACTGTAATTTTTTTAAATAGCATTTAATCCAGATTTAGGTTCAGCTTTATTAGCAGATCTGTTTAAGAATCTATTTCTGACCAGTTTAAATTCTATATCCACTGAAGACTCTGCACCAAGTGGAAAAGGGAAAACTTGAGGTGAATTAGGTTCAATTTTGTGTGTAGATGGACCCTGGGTTTACTACCGGGTAAGCACGAGCATAGCTAAGCTAACATGAATTGGACGTATAGACCTATTTCACAGAGAGAAACCTCCTCTTAAATCCAAGAGTAAATACTGTGCAGCAAAATGGTTTTATCAGGATGGGACAGAAGGGTGTGTCTTCACCTGCTGGTGTACCATTGTCTCTTCTTCTTGTTGCTATAGCTGTATCTCTGTGAATACACACATACACTTCCATACCATGCATATACTTCTCCCTGTGCCCCACAGGTAAGAGTGGTGCTAATAACACCGCACCATAAACAAAAGCAAGAAGATGCAAAGTTGTATTTGAGTAACAGTTCTTTTGCTACACTGGAGATAAATCACTGAGATGCTTTTGGAATGACCACCCCAGAGATTGCCTGGAGTGCCTTGCATTACCCAGCTTGCAGCCAGGAACAGCTGTTTTCAAGGATCTTACTAATTAAGTAATTAGGCAACCAAGTTATACTCTTTGCTCTTGCTGATGTACAGGTGTGCAAATGCAACTGCCCTCTAAGGCAGGCATGGTTTTGGCAGGTGTTTTGGGTTTTTTTTTTTTTTTTTTGGTGTCATCCTAACTTTATCCAAATGTACAGGTTATTATTTTACAT